TCTCTTCTGACGTGCCTTGCGCAGGCGGCTGCCGGAAGTTATAGAAGCGGCTCAAGAAGGGTATGTCGACCATTCTGTCATCTGGATTCTTGGCCAATTTCTCCACAATCTCAAAGTCAGGCTCGCCAAGGAACTCCTTAACATGGTTCGGGTGCGGGATCACCAGTTGCAACTCCTGTCGCACTAGAAGCTCTTTTCCTTTGCCTTCGGGACTTGCCTCTGTTTCTTTCTTGTGGCCATACCGAGCTTACTGCAGGCTGGGTTATAAGGTTTTTAGGGTTTGGGGTTGAGGGGTCGCGGACAATGCAGGTATATACGCTCCTCAAGGCCGTCCTACCCAACTATCCGCCCCGCAGGTAACCCCGACAACAGTCCTCGCATCAGCACCGGACTCCACGGCACAGGCACAGCCAAAACCACACCCTATGCAGTGCATGCTTTTGTGCTTGAAGATGGCCGCGAGGAAGATGAGGACGACGCCAACCTGGAAGAAAGGGGTTGCGACGAGAGGGACGGCACTCCTGGCTCACAACATCCTAAGCCCCTTCTGCAGACCGCGCGCTGTGCAAGTCACTCAAAGGTGGAGAGCACCAGGTCATGCATTAAACACCACCTCAGACCAGTCCAATTCTTTCGCCCCTGACATGTTCTGAGGATGTGATTCTTCTGCTGCTACGACTACAGCTCGCCACATCGTTACGCTTATGCAATCGCACCCATGAAAGTCTCAAATCATCTTGGCGACTGCCAAACTTCAAGGTATGTAGGGCTCGGTAGCAGGACCAAGTTCCGGAACCACCGATCCCTCTTTGCAAAAGCAGAAGACCCCCGAATCCAGGAAAAGGTATTCAAACGCCCTCCAAAGGTGTGGGGACTGAACACCGCCTCAAGCATCCAATGTGAAATCTCAATCCATACAAATTACTCCTATCGCTCCAGCAACCAAGCGGCCCAAAGTCGATGTGGACCACNNTGGCCACTTGTCAACAGCATGAGGTTGCCGTTGTGACGGTCTTTCACCTGCAGTTTTGTCATCTGGGGTTTCGGGTTTCAGAGCCGCGGCAAGGACCGCAATGACGGGTATGGCCTGACTGAAGAACTTTATGCAGCACAGCGCCCATAACAAACTTGTAGCATTTTTGATGGGGCTTCTAGCCTGTAAGGGTGGAACTCCCCCTCACTGACCTGCGAGTGAAGCTGCCACCGCCCCGCGGGCAATTGCAACACGTCACCCCGTCAAGCATATAGACAGTGCTTGCCATGGATTACAAGCACGATTGAGAAGCGTGCCCAAAAGTGGCACTAGGGTGGGCATGCTTTCTCAGAAGGCCTTGAAGACACGGTTTCGACACCGAGAAACTATGGAAGTTCCACAGCGGCAGAGACTCCGTACCACTGCTCCGCAAGGTTTGGAGCTCCGCCACATCTCCCACGTCCAGTGTGGAGCACAACACTTCTTCGACGAACACCCAGCAAGTCTGGCAACTGAATACGCTGCCAAAGCGAGTCGACAAGGCAGAGATGCTCTACGAACCAAATATTGGAGCCCAACACTCGCACAGGTTCCTGGTGAAGCTACGGTAAAGCTGCTCCGCCTCCTTGACTCTGCCACTTCCTAGGCTAAAGCAAAATCGAAGCTCCGGCAGCAAACATTCGCGTAATGGAGCATGAAGCATACTAAGCCACTGCTAAGCTTTCGTGACATGTCGAAGCACAGAACGACTTCCATAGAAACTCGTGCCAACCCGAACACGGATGGTCCCCGGATCTTCAGCAATTTTAGTGCTGATGCTGATGCTGCGCAATTCACGACGCCGCTTCCACGTCACTGAAAGTTGTTCTGACAGAGAATGTGACGCAGGGCCGGCGTGGCCGACTTACCACGACCGTCGACGAACCTACCAGCATGAAACCGCGTTTACAACGCTCAGCACATTCTTGCACAAAGGCTTGGTTCAGGTGGGACAGTGGGGCCTCGACATACGCATTAATCCATCCGGAATGACAACGGCGGGAGATCATGCGACCAGCTGAAGCACAGCCGCTGGCAGAGTCTTGGAGGCTGAGGGGCCCCTTAAAGCAGCGGAGCCTTTCTGCAGGCAGGGACTGGAGGTCCGCACGGCGATCCGCAAGTGCCTGTCTCTAGAACGGCTCGGCTGCTTCTCAAGTCAGCCCTCACAGCTCCGGGAAGCCAAGCGGTTGTTCGATCCACAACATCGCGCGGCATGAGCACCAAGCTTAAATGAGCATATTGTTGTTATATCCACGGGACACTGCATTAATAACACCTCCCGAATCACAGGCCGAGGCTGACACTGCAGCTGATTTTTTGGCATTTCGATACCCTTGTTTGCTACAATCTGAGTTAGACACTGAGATGAACCGCAAATTTGTCTCTGGCCGTGCCTTTTGCCGTGGACATGCTCGCAACTTGAGTAGTCTGAGCTTGAACCAGAATTTCGGTTTTCCACATCGCAAACGGAAGCAGGCGCCAGGCGCCATGCTGAAGAGAAGTTGGGTCTCGCTCAATGGCAGCCTATGAGCCTTTGCCCCTTCGGCCCAGCCCTGAACCCAAAGCCCTGAACCTTGTTACATACCTCTGGCCGGGGCGCAGGCTGTGGCCTGCAGGAAGTAGACGACCCGGGAGTATGCCGCCGAGCTTTCAATGAAGTTCTTCTTCGCCTCGAACCTCGCTTGTGTCACTATGCGCTTTTCAACACTCACTCGGACAGGTTCGGGCAAGGCTTGAAGCGCCAACGGCCAACGCTGGTTAGGCTGTCCAGTTTGCAGGGTTTACATCCTTTTTTTGCCAAAGAGGGCATTCTAATCTCAGACTCTTACACCATACGAGCTGGCTGTACGAAGTGTTCTTGTGCTGCTACGCAACTGTTCCTATGTTAGGCTGTAGTGTTGTTCTACTTAGCTGGTGTGCACTGTGCACATGATTTACCAGCAAGTCCATTTCGCCAAGGCGAAATGCAAGTGAAATGGTTCTGACTTCAGGCTCTAATCTGAGTGTTTCAAGGTTACGGCCCTTACGGCTACCAGAATTTCACGCCCATGCCCTGCACCCCGAACTACGGGAGGTAGCAGTCCCATTCCAAGGTACACCGGAAGCTCCGACACTCAATATACTCCCGAGCCACGATCTGTCGGCAAAAGCCCACTTTGAAGATGTCTCTTCATGGCTTAAGTTCACGATCTACCGATATGGATGACTTTATGAGTTCAGTGCCTGGGGCCTAGGGATTTCTTGCTCGGATTAAGGCTTTATGAGCCTTTTGTTCGCCTGTGTGTTATGCGCATCAACAGAAACCGACTTGTTCATGGAAAGTCCTACACCAC